GAAATCAGGTCTCTCTTGTAAATGCATCCTCGAGGCTCAATGGGATTACCTGTCTAAATAAAGGTTGAATGAATAGCTTGCAGGCATCTCCCGCCAACATATAAGGAGTATCCTGATGCTTGCTCAATAACCCAGGTAGAAAAATCCAAAAAAGTTCAATCTGGTCCTCTGGACATTCAAAAAAATAGGATGGATAAATACATCAAGTTCACACGAGAAGATGTAAAAAACGGCAAGTTGGCTCTCTTGGACTGTGAGGTCTCAGTCTCTGATAGAGGACATTTGCAAACTGAGGTGTACCGCAAATCCACCCACACAGACCAGTACTTGCAGTTTGACTCGCATCACCCTTTGGAGCACAAGTTAGGAGTCATCAGGACTGTGTATCACAGAGCAGACAGCATCCCCACTAACTCGGGAGCCAGGCAGAAGGAGAAATCCTACACAAAACAGGCTCTAGAGCAATGTGGATATCCTAACTGGGCCTTCCTGAAAGCAGAGAAGAAGCCCAAACAGGACTCCAGTCAGCCATCAGGTGAAAAGGAGGAACCCAGACCCAGACCAGTGGTCATTCCGTATGTTGAGGGATTATCAGAGAAACTGAGACGTTTATTTTCTAAACATAACGTCCCAGTGGCTTTTAAACCCCAAAATACATTACGGCAAAGACTGGTTCATCCCAAAGATCCAGTCCACCGGCACAAACAGAGTAATGTTGTGTATGCTGTTCAGTGTCAGGAGGGCTGTGATCAGTCTTACATCGGGGAAACTAAACAGCCACTGGCCAAAAGGATGGCCCAGCACAGAAGATCAACATCATCAGGCCAGGATTCTGCGGTCTACACTCATCTCCAGGCCAACGGTCACTCTTTCAAGGATGAAGATGTTCACATCCTGGACAGAGAGGAACAATGGTTTGAGAGAGGAGTAAAGGAGGCCATCTTTGTGAAAGGAAATCGTCCATCATTAAACAGGGGTGGAGGCCTCCGGGTTCAACTGTCCCCCTCTTACAATGCTGTGATTGCTAGTATCACTCAGCCCTCTGTGAATAGAAAACAGCCATCAGTGTGCTAATGATCCATTGTTAGGCTGATGGTCCTTCTTGAGCATGTGATCAGCTGGTTTTGGTTGTCAACAGCAAACTGGTTGATCCACTCTGAGAAGGTGCTATTTAAGAGACTGAGCTGAAAACAGCACCTCAGACTGAGGAAGTCTCTTGGATGAGAGAAGAAACGTTTCTATATTTTTTTGCTTTGTTTTGGGTTTTTTTTTTTTTGGTTTTTTTGAATGTCCAGAGGACCAGATTGAACTTTTTTGGATATAAGGAGTAGTTCACATTCAACCAGAGGAAAGTGATTAATTGCTTGCTTATCTGGCGGTATTGAACTGGGAGTTTTTATGTAGGGGAACCCCTTCGGGGACCCCCACCCAGGGGGAGTTGCTAAGATATTTTTTATTCTAGACTGGTCCTATGGTTTTGATCTGCTCAGAAATGGGATTATAATGAAATTATGACCCGGTTCTGACTGTGTTAAACTGGGCCAGCAAAATCTAAAGAGAGTCTCCCTGGGATTTCAATATCAGCCAAGGAATACAGTTTGATCTGCTTGCCACATCACGTAGAAAGGCTTTGAAGCACCATCTCATATTTTCCTAACACGTCAGTCCACATAAGATCACACTTAGTCACGCCCCCAAATACATGGATAGGTTGAGCTCCCCTTCTGCAAAGGCGGAGTCTTAGGACCCTATAAATTAGTAATGACACGGGACTTCGAGGCTCTTCCGGGTCTGTGAACGCGTCACAGTCCGGAAAGTCCAGCGCTGTAGATTGTAATCTTTTCCTGCCTTTTCTAATATAATTGATAAAACTTAATTGATGTTTCCTTGATTTATTGATTAGTATAGTTGCTACTTCTGAGGGAGGTTCGAGCCGGGGGTAAAGACGTGGGCTGGAGGGGGTTTCCGGTTCCGGTGGCCCGCAGCCAGCTCATGTCTTTAACAGTAACTAGTCCACGCCTTTGTCATGAACCGATTGGACTATTGCAATGCACTCTATGCTGGGGTCAGCCAGGCCTCCATTTCTCATCTTCAGCTCGTCCAGAATGCTGCTGCTCGGTTTTTAACTGGAACTCGTAGGTCTGAACATATCACACCAGTTCTGTCCTCCCTTCACTGGCTCTCTGTTCGTACGAGGATAGTCTTTAAAATGCTTCTGTTGACCTTCAAATGCTTAAATGGCCTCGCACCCCTTTACCTCTCTGAGCTTCTGGAACCTTACGTTCCCTCTCGGGCCCTGAGATCATCTGATCAGCTGCTTTTGGCTGTTCCAAAAACAAGACTGAAGCTCAGAGGAGATCGGGCTTTTTCAGTCATGGGCCCCAAACTCTGGAACAACCTGTCCCCCAACATCAGGCAGGCCACCTCCCTTCCTCACTTCAAATCCCTGCTTAAAACACATCTGTTCTCGCAGGCATTTCACACAGTGTAATTGATAGTTTTTTGTTTTTTTTTATCTGTGACCCTATGTTTTAAATGCTTTTTATTAATTCTTCAGTTATTATTATTAGTGTATTGTATTTTTTTTCTTTTTAATTTTACTCTCATTGATTGTTGTTGTTGTTAAGCACTTTGATAACAGGTTCTGTTTTAAATGTGTTCTATAAATAAAGTTGGCTTGACTTGTCTTGACAAAACAGACCCCACCCCCCATTTCTCTTTGTAACAGACAGCCTCAGAAAGAGAATGGAGGGGTGGGGTCAGTCTTTCCCCATCATTACTGCTCAGGGGGCAAGTATGAACAGATCAGATGAACAAATGTAGGATATCGGAGAAAATGCTTAGGTGGAAAAATAAGAATGAATCAGTTAACTCCAGTTAATCCAAAATTCTGCTGCCAGACTCAACTGGAGTTAATAGGATAGATCATATCTCTCCAGTTTTAACTTCTCTCCATTGGCTCCCTGTCAAGTCCAGAATTTAATTCAAAATCTTACTTCTAACCTACAAAGCCCTCAACAACCTAGCTCCATCTTATATTACAGATCTTGCTGTTTCATATTTTCCTAACAGAGCACTTCGCTCTCAGACTGCAGGTTTACTTGTGGTTCTTAAGAGTTTCCAAAAGCAGAATGGGAGGAAGATCTTTCAGTTATCAGGCTCCTCTCTTGTGGAACCAACTTCCAGTTTCTTTCCGTGAGGCTGACACATTGTTCAGTTTTAAGACTGGGCTTAAGACTATCCTTTTTGCTAAATCCTATAGTTAGGGTTAGCTTGGGTTTCCTGAGCAATCCCTTAATGCTCCAGTATACTTGCATGTCCTGTCAGCCGCGCAGAAACTGTGCGCACTGACCACAGAGGTTTGAGACTTCATACTCGAGCCTCCACCTTGAGTGGCTGTTGTCAGCTTCACAGGCAAGGGGCGTTTACCTTCGGGAAAAATTGAGGTCGCCAATTGGTCATTTGCTGACACGCTTACTGGATTGATTGACAGGTCGCAAAAAAAAAAAAGAAGAGAGCTGGCAACCCCAGCCCCAGCGGTATTCTATGTTTATAAGTTGTTAATAAAAAGTTCTAAAAAAAAATAAAAAAACAGGGAGCACTGGACCTGCAGCCCACACATCAGACCAATCCATCAGGAAATCTCCAGAACCTCCTGCAGCCACGCTGGACTGATTTTAATTCGCTCGTGACAAATTCCTTTATTTCTCACCATTTCAGTCATGGTGTCAATGGGGGAGGAGGAAGAGATCACTTGCCTCTTGGGAAAAAAAACAAAAAACAAAAGAAAAGGCTATTAAACCAAATCAGGGATGACGAAGGGGAATTTAATACATTGGCGTCGCATACAAAACAGTCCGTCGCCAGGCAGTTTATTGTGCAACACCGAGTACGTGTACGCGGTCATAAAAATTGAGCTTTGCATGAACATGCCCTGCGGGCGTCCACTTCGACTCTAATCCGGTACGCACGGACCTCCGCAGATAGACGTATGCGCAAGTATACTGGAAGCTTTAGTTATGCTGCTATAGGCTTAAACTGCTAGAGGACAAACTGGTCACATTTCATCACTCAGTCTTTACTTACTCTGTTCGACCTGTTTTGTATTTGTAATTATTTTTTCTATCCTTGACGCGTTTTTGTCTTTCAGGTTCAACTGCACCTATATCTGGACCTACCATTCTGTGTACGTTTGTCTCTCCTTCCTCTCCTCTCAAACCTAGCAAGTCGAAGCAGATGGCCGCTTGTCCTGAGTCTGGTTCTACTGGAGGTTCCTTCTTTTTAAAAGGGAGTTTTTCCTTTCCACTGCTGCCGTTGTGCTTGCTCAGGATGGGAGACTGAAACAAAGCCAAGATTCAACTTGTCTGCTGGCTTCCTTAGATAGGAAAGGCCAATTAGTAAAGTTCTCTATGTATGTGAATGTTCCTGTACAGCCCTGAGACAACTTTGTTGTGAAGTGGTGCTATATAAAAAAAACTGAATTCAACTGAATTGAATTCAGTGGAGAAGTCAGGCTCGAAACCATCAAGTAAGGAGGGTGTGGGGGAAGGATGCTTGACTGAAGTGGAGTGTTTACAAATGTAGGTAAATTTAGATGTGTTAACAACCTGTTAAAACACACCAAAATGCAGGAAATCGCATCTACTTAATTCAAAAAAAATTTTTTTTTTTTTGGGGGGGGGGGGGGGGGGGAGTACCCCAGACCCCTGCACGCTAATTGCGTTCCAGCATCGATTGGTTTACAAACACACCAAAATGCAGGAAATTGCATTTACTTTATTCATAATTTTCTTGGGGAGGACCCCAGACCCCCGCACGCTATTTGCGTTCCAGCATCGATTGGTTTACAAATTAAGCACTGCTTATTAAATTTTGGAAAAACTTTTTATATATCATAGCACTGAGATGTTGAAGGCTCTAGAAATCCTAGGACTACATTTTCAGTGCTGCATGGAAAACTTCATTTGGCTTGACTTTGGTAAGACTTTTTGAGCAATCACCTCCAAAGTAGTAGGTTCCACCAGTCTGGATCTGGATGGGAATAGCTGTCCTGACTGTGGATGCCTCATCTCCATCCACTGTTAGCATAGCATGGTTTTCCAGAGCATTTAGATGGACACTATGCCACTGGCCATCATTCAAACCTGAACCTGTGAAGAAGAAAAACAGACATTTTCATCCATTAATAACACCTTTTTGGGCACCTAAACGCTGCAAAAGGTCAACTTTGAAAATTAAAGGCCTAGCCTAGCTTGAAGGAATGCTTATCACCCAATGCTTCCATGTCAGAGTTTAAAACTAAGGTTATCTCATGCAAATGGAAAACTACAATTTATTTATAAACACTAGATCAGCCAAAGGCAGCTGAAATTTTTGAATAACGGGATGACCTGATGAAATGTCAATCCGTGTGTTCTTCTTCTGTGTGATGTTCATGAAGATGACGACCCTGCCCTCAATCAGCCCCAGCTCCACCCATCCGTCAGCCAGTTGAGTGAACATCAGCAGACCACTGGGGTTCCACGTTCTGAAAGACAGACTCACTGACAGCGTGTCACTGTCACTCTGACCCGGCAGCCGCAGGAAGGACGTGGAGTTAAAGAAGACAGGGAAGGAGTTGGACTCAGAACAGGAGAATGTCAGATTACGCTGAAGTGGAACACAAAGACAGCAGAATTAATGCCTCGGAAATGGACCAGAGAGAACAAAACAAATCTTGACGTGTAGATCAATCTCTTTTGCTTTTCAGTGATTTATAAAATTTGTACAAAATGTGTAAAAATCTAACTCTGAGTGAACAATGTCAGAAATTATACTAGAAAAGGGAAAATCAATGAATAGAGAAATGGATTTATCTTACAAAGCTGGAGGTGTCAACCCTCTTCCTGCGCACCAAGCTGGTGATGTTGTCACCATTGTAAATGATCCCCTCCATGCAGCCCACAAAGTTTTGTTTACCATCTGAGCTCAGCTTTGCAGATTCAGGAAGTCCTCCAAAGCTAATCTGATGACACACAGTACAGAGAAGCACTGCATGTAAAAAACTACACCTTCACTAAATTTTAGTGCAAACAAATGCTGACCAACAAACTATGATGTTGCCAAAAAGAGTAAACAAAAAGCTGAAATCAAGAATAACTTAAGAAATTACATGCTCTATGAACATATGCTGTGAATGCTGAGTGCTGAATGGCTTTGCAGAAGCAGAAACTGATTTGTTCAACCTAAAATAAGCAGAACACCAGCTAAAAGCTAGAAGGAGCAAAACATCTAGAAAATGTTAAAAATAAGCTAAATTGTCTAGCGTCTCATTAGCAAACTATCAGGTGTAGACTTCATGAAATTTATTACACAGCTTTGGAGAACAGTCAGACCCAAACAAGTACAGAACGTATTCATGTCTTGTCCCGTCTGAGTCTTTAACCCGTCCTGCCTTCCTGAAATTAAAAAAGTTAGTTTTATCTAAACTCATTATGGGGCCTCCCACCACTCCCCTTCACCTTGCCCTAGACACTAGCAACAAGGCGAATGGGCAGGGTTGAGTCTGATATGCACACACAACTGGCCAGCTGCTACTGGCACCAGGGAGCTAAGGCATTATAATAGCATACTATTCAGATCACAATGAGCATAAAGTACAACATAAGATTATATATAATAAAATAATAGAGCATGGTGCAATGCGTTGAAAAGCATTCCCTAGACATCTAGCAAAAATTAAGAGAAACAAAACTAAATGCTAAAAGTAAACATTTGTTAAATGCTAAAAAAAGCAAAAAGTTTGATAAAACCTTAAATTATTAAATTATTAGCTAAAAGCATAAAAGAGCTCATTTAAAGTATCATAAGGCTAGTTAGAAGCTAAACGTAGTAAAATTCTGGCTCAAGGTTAAATGTAGCAAATGGTTAACTAAAAGCTAAAAGTAGCATAAAAGACAAAAAAGTAGAAAGTTTGTTGAAGCAAATTTTATAAAAACAGTGCTGTTGTAGGAATTACAAAGATTTTGATATATATTAAGGTAACATCAAAGTTCATGCTCAATAATCCAGGTAAAAATCCAACAAAAAGTCAGGTCCTGTGGACGGTTTCTTTTTTTATTGAAATGTTTCCTTCTTCATCCAAAGGATTTCATCCGTCAGAGGAGCCACAAACAAACTCGGTCCCACAAGCAGCATGTTCACATAGTGGGTCAACCAGTTTGCTGGTGATAAGTGACATTGTATACAATCTCACTGAGAAATGTCATGCTCAGAGTATGTGTTGAGGATGACTCTCCGCTACTACCACAACAAATTTTAGATTTATATTTGAAAACGTAATGAGGTTATAGACATGTTTGCATTTTTTAAGGTTAGTCGGCTGTAGAGGTAATCTTGAATTCAGTTGACACCAAAAATTTAAGCTGTTGTACAGGTCCTTCTCAAAAAATTAGCATATTGTGATAGAGGTCATTATTTTCCATAATGTAATGATAAAAATGAAACTTTCATATATTTCAGATTCATTGCACACCAACTGAAATATTTCAGGTCTTTAATTGTTTTAATACTGATGATTATGGCATACAGCTCATGAAAACCCAAAATGCCTGTCCCAAAAAATTAGCATATCATGAAAAGGTTCTCTAAACAAGCTAACCATCTGAATCAACGACGTAACTCTAAACACCTGCAAAAAATTCCTGAGGCTTTTAAAAACTCCCAGCCTTGTTCATTACTCAAAACCACAATCATGGGTAAGACTGCCGACCTGACTGCTGTCCAGAAGGCCATCATTGACACCCTCAAGCAAGAGGGTAAGACACAGAAAGAAATTGCTGAACGAATAGGCTGTTCCCAGAGTGCTGTATCAAGGCACCTCAGTGGGAAGTCTGTGGGAAGGGAAAAGTGTGGCAGAAAACGCTGCACAACGAGAAGAGGTGACCGGACCCTGAGGAGGATTGTGGAGAAGGGCCGATTCCAGACCTTGGGGGACCTGCGGAAGCAGTGGACTGAGTCTGGAGTAGTGTTTTATCAAGGGCAGGGTCAATGCAGCTAGCTATCAGGAGATTTTGGAGCACTTCATGCTTCCATCTGCTGAAAAGCTTTATGGAGATGAAGATTTCATTTTTCAGCACGACCTGGCACCTGCTCACAGTGCCAAAACCACTGGTAAATGGTTTACTGACCATGGTATTACTGTGCTCAATTGGCCTGCCAACTCTCCTGACCTGAACCCCAT